TCGTGACCCTGGTCCCTACCAGGGTCCTTAATCACTGTCCAGGGCCTCCGGGTGGGCCCGCTGTAGCCTTTCCCACCCTTGTTCACGTAAAGGTGCCCTCCCAATGATCTTCTCCGCCTAGCAAACTTCTACTCACCACGGCTCAGTTCAGAGGTCACTTCCATTGAGGGGCTCCTAGAGCCGGGCGCTGTGGCTCACGCCTGTCATCCCAGCACTTTGGGAGGCGGAGGCGAGAGGATCGAGCCCACGGGTTCGAGACCAGCCTGGGCAACATGGCGAGACCTCGTCTCTCCAATAAATCAAAAAATCAGCCGGGCGTGGTGGCGCGTGCCAGTGGTTCCAGCAACTTGGAAGACTGAGCCCAGCAGGTCAAGGCTGCAGTGGCTGTGAGTGTGCCACTGCACTCTAGACTGGGCAACAGAGTGAGACTTCAACTTAAAAAAAAAAGAGGTTCCTAAAACCCCTGGAGGGCAACCAATTCTAGGCCTACATTTAGCAAAGGATTTCTCAAGAAGAATCCCTTATCAAAGTTCTTTCTGAATCAGCTCCCCCTCACCCAGCTTGGGTTTCCCTCGCTGATTGCTCAGTGTCCCCAGAACCCATACAGGGCTGCCCAGCCAGGGAAAGGGCGGTGGTTTGGGCTCATGTTCGGTATTCCTGTCACCCACTCTGATACCTCCAAACCTGCAGGCTCCAAGCACAGGGCTCGGGCAGCTCCGGATCCTCCTCCCCTCTTCGATGACACAAGCGGTGGTTATTCCAGCCAGCCTGGGGGATACCCAGCCCCAGGAGCGGACGTGGCCTTCAATGTCAACCACTTGCTTGGGGACCCGATGGCCAATATGGCTATGGCTTATGGCAGCTCCATCGCAACTCATGGGAAGGACATGGTGCACAAGGAGGTGTGGCCTGCCCCAGGGCAAGGGTGGCAGAGTTTCTGGCTAGGGCTGGGACATCATGGGATTCTGCCTGATTCCTCACAGCAGCCCTCAAAGGGCACACAGAGGAGCACCCCGAGTCGGGGTGCGGCATGCCCATGGTCTCCTCTCTCCCCTCCCAGCTGCACCGTTTTGTGTCTGTGAACAAACTCAAGTATTTTTTCGCTGTGGACACAGCCTACGTGGCCAAGAAGCTAGGGCTCCTGGTCTTCCCCTACACACACCAGGTGAGCTTCCTACCAGGTGAGCTGGTGGGCCTCCCTCATCCTGCCCTGGAGTCTGGCCCCAGACATCAACCTCCTTCTCTCTTTTCTTGTCTCCTCCTCTGATATGGCTGCTGCTGCCACTGCCAGAACTGGGAAGTGCAGTACAGTCGTGACATGCCTCTGCCCCCCCGGCAAGACCTCAACGCCCCTGACCTCTATATCCCCAGTGAGTCTCTGACCTTCGCTGGGGGACATGGGGGGGACTTGTGCCTTGAGGGATAAATAGGAAGAGAGAGACTCAGCATCTGCTCTTGGTGCTTTCTGGGACCAGGTGGGCATAGAGGGTGACCAGTAAGGCCTTCCCACATGTGCCTTCAGGGTTCCCAGGATGGCCTCATGAGACTTTTCTACCTCTTGACTTGGGCCAAATTCCTCCTCAGCCCTGGGCTCTTCAGTAAAACGGGAATGGCAGTCTATGCCTCAAAGGATTGTTGTAGAGATTCGGTGAGGTGGCATGTGTCCTGCATAGCACCTGTCACCGAGGAGGCACGCAGTACATGTCAGCTACTATTATCATTATTATCTGTCCTCCAAGGCCTGCTCCATCCTCCTCTCCTCCAGACCTTTCCTGATCCCCTGAACAAGTGACGCCTCCCATCTGGGTTCCCACAACTGCCTATCCACATGACATATCTGTCCACAGGCCGCCCACATGTACTGTGGCTGGCTGACTCCATAGCTGAGTTCCCTCTTCCCTGTCGGGGTGAGTGTGCAGGGGCTAGCCCTCGGAGTTTCCAGTGAGGGCAGCCAGCCCAGGTGTCCCAGGCAGGACAAAGGTTCTTCCATACTTCACCCCATGTCTCCCTCGTGACCACTGTGTGAGGCTGGAACCGGCACTCCCACCTGACATGTTGATGCCAAGACTCAGAGTGACTCGGTCTTTCAGGTCCCAAAGCTTAGAGGTGGGAGAGCTGGTTTCCTGATTCCAGACACTGTGCCCTCTAGTGGTCATATCGGTCCTAATGCTTCGAGGACAGGACCAATGGTTAAAACGGTTAAGGTGCAGCTAGCTCTCACCGGCCCTGAACTTTTGGGAAAACAGCTTGAAGTTCAACTTGGAGTTCTCTGCATCGTCAGGGTAGCCAGAACTATGGCCAGTGTCGAGGGCCAGACTTAGGATTGCTGGCTGAAGGGAGGTCATCTCCATGGCCCCGGACTCCAGGGCACCCTGGGTGTCCACTGAACCTGCATTCTGGTCCTGTAGTCTCACCAGAGATCAGCTTGGTCCCTATCTAGAATGAGCAATGGCTTGGCCCATGATGCAGTTTCTGGGACACAGCGGAAAACTTTGGTGAGCTTCCTAGCACAAGAACAGGAAGAGAGGTAGCTTGTGGTTCTGGGAGAAAGTCAGGTGGCATTTGCACCTTGGGGGGAGAGGGCTGACTGGGAAAGGCAGCCCAGGCACGGCATTGGCGAGCTGAATGTGGAGGTCAGGCTGTGTTGGGATATGTGGGGGAGAAAGGATGGGGAGGAAGAGGTGGCATCAGTGGCCTTGATGCCTAGCAGAGGGGCCCTGGTTGAAAAAGCCAGGCTGATGGCGTATCTCTGGCTCTTGGCAGCAATGGCCTTCATCACCTATGTGCTGCTGGCTGGCATGGCACTGGGCATGCAGAAAAGGTCAGTGCCAACCCTGCCCCTCCCCCAGGGCCTTCTCCCTACCTCCCTAGGGGGTCTTTTGCAGTCCCAGCCTACCTCCTCCTGCCCCCGGTCTCTCACCCTCACCCTGTCACAGGATGGCTGGCTCTGAACCGCCCCCCCTCCTCTGGCACAGGTTCTCCCCAGAGGTGCTGGGCCTGTGTGCGAGCACGGCACTGGTGTGGGTGGTGATGGAGGTGCTGGCCCTGCTCCTGGGCCTCTACCTGGCCACCGTGCGCAGTGAGCTGAGCACCTTCCACCTGCTGGCCTACAGCGGCTACAAATATGTGGGGTGAGCACTGGTGGGCTGGGGGGAGGTGGCCTGGGGAGGGCCTGCAGCCTTGGGCCTGGGTGTACATAGCTGTAGCCTCAAACTGTGACTCCCCAGCTGTCTCCCCAGGACCTGAGGGCCATGCAGGAGGTTGGGGTGTGTTGAGAGTCACACTGGGAGCAGAGGGGAGAGAAGGGGGTCTGGGTCCAGGTCCTGGGATGGAGTCCTGGGCCTTCCAGTTTCCTCTCAGGTCCGGGTCCCTGGGGGGACAGGCTGGGAGTAAAGGGCCCTGGTCTGGGTGGAGTCTACCTGGGCCCTGGGGAGCAGGGCTGCTCTCAGGCTTGGCCCCCTGAGGGGTCACCAGCATTCTCCTCCTCCCCACCCCCCAGAATGATCCTCAGTGTGCTCACAGGGCTGCTGTTCGGCCGCGATGGCTACTACGTGGCTCTGGCCTGGACGTCATCCGCGCTCATGTACTTCATCGTGAGTCTGGGGCTGCCCCCACGCCCGGGTCAGAGCTGAGGACAAACCCCGCTCTCCCGGGCCAGCTTCTGCCCTCCTTTCTTCCAGGTGCGTTCTTTGCGGACAGCAGCCATGGGCCCTGACAGCGTGGGGGGCCCGGTCCCCCGACAGCGCATCCAGCTCTACCTGACCCTGGGAGCTGCAGCCTTCCAGCCCCTCATCATATACTGGCTGACCTTCCACCTGGTCCGGTGACCCCCGCCCCAGGTGGCACTGATTTTTCCATTCATTGAAGATTGGATTTCTGTGGCTTTGTTTGACCCTCATTCCTGGGCCTGAGGGGGAGTTGCAGGCTCCTCTGGGCCTCTGTATTGCCCAGAGGACCAGGCTTGGGGCTGTCTACGAAGAGGGTGCACCCAGGGAGGGCTTCCTGACTTGGATACTGCCTTGGAAGGCAGAGGGGAGGGCTTCGCAGGCACAGCCAGGAAAGGCTGGAAGGAGACCTGGAAGGCCTCTGATCCATCCAGGAGGGGCCGCCACCGTCCTGGGGGCCAGTGAGGGGACTGGCTATGCTGGGGACGTAGCTCAGGGCTACCCCCCACACAGTCCCCTTGCTCTCGTCTCCTTGTCAAGCTTTCCAGGAGCAGAACTGGAGGCCCATGTGTTTGCAGTAGTTTATTCATATTTTGTCACAAATGGCCGGGGAGGGGGTGCCGGACTCCTCCAGGCGACATAGAAAATAGGTCCAAGAGACAGGGTGGGCTGAGTCAGGGCCAGTGGAGACAGGGTGGGAGAGAGAGCCTGGGGGAGTGGAAGGCAGATGGGGTCGGGCTGCCCCCCCCCCAGCCTGCTCATTCCCGGTGTGGGTGCTCCCCCACCTGCAGGGGGAGCCTCAGGGTGGGGTGGAGGTGGGCGGCCCAGAATTTCCAGGGTCAAGCTCTGCCCTGCGGCAGGGCCCAAGTTTCCCCTGAAGCGGACCAGGCCGGAGGTCCCGCCCCTTCCAGGCCTGACTGCCTACCCACAGGCTGGCGGGGAGCCCCTGCCCCTTTTGAGAGCTCTCCCAGCCCCAGTCCAAGGGGAAGGGCTCTGAAGGCGGGGGGTCCCCGCAGCAGCAGTTGGGGGGGTTGGAGAGGCTGGGGGCACCAGTGCCCCCTCCCTCCCCAGGGCTGAGGCCTCTGTGGCCGAGAGACAGGGCTGGGGTTGCACAGGCGTCCGGTCCATTCTGGGCTCGCTCCCTGGCCGGCTTCCCCCTTAGAAACTCACCAACGTATAAACCATACTGTGGGGAGATGGAACAGTGAGCCGAATCTCGAGCACACCCGGCCACCCACCAGTCACACCCTAGGTCGCCCTCAGTCCTCAAGGGCAAAGGGCAGGAACTTGGGACCGGCAGCGTGACGCCGGAACATCCCTTCCCTGGGTTCTGACTGCCAGGGGCAGGGCCTCACCTGTACAGGTAATAGAAGAAGGAGAGCAGGTAGAAGGCAAGTTTGCACCAGGACTCCTTCTGGCAGTAGTTGAGGATGTCAGCATTCATGATGGAGACCGCGTCATACATGACCTCAGAGCCATCCGCAGGACGGTGGAAGTACCTGGGGCCGGCAGGGGCTGAGTGCCCCCGTCAGGCCTCCCACCCCTGCCTCCCCGCCCCCCATCTCAGCCCCCCGGGCGGCTGCTGCCCTCACCTCCAGAGGTGGTAGAAGAGAAGGGGGATGTTGAGGCCCAGGGTCACCCACTCTGCTGCACACAGAAACATCAGACAGAAGAGGCCGTGGATGGAGTATTCGGGGACCACCAGCTGGGGGAGTGAGGGTGAGCGGTCAGCGGCTTGGCGCCACACAGCCCCCAGCTTCTAGGACACAGAGGGGAGCTGGGACTGGAGATGCCCACCCACCCTGGCCTCCGGGGACTAAGAGGCCTCTGGCCTCCCTCTCCCTCCCAGGTGGCAAAGTGGATCCAACCAGGCCCCAAGGAGGAAGGCCTGACTGTCGCTCTGGGTGACGGTGGGGGCAGCGCTGGGCTAGGAGCCTGCTGCCCCCGGCCTGGCACTGACCTTCCTCAGGAGGCAGCAGATGCGTTCGATGTTTTTTAAACGCTCGCGCTGTTGGGGAAGGAAAAGGCCGCGATGGGGGAGGCGAAGGACCGAGCACGGGGCGCCCCCCCGCCGCCCTTCACGTGGCCGCCGGGGGGCGCCGGAGCAGGCTCTGCGGCATCGTCGGCGCGGCAGGCAAGCAGCCGCGCCGTCCCCATGGCAACCGTCGCCACGGAGGGGCCTTCACCCGCGTCTCCACGGCAACGGCCCAGAGCCTGGCA